ATAATATATAATATATGATATATAGTCTATAGTATATATAGTATGTAATACAATATGTAATACAATATGTAATATATATATAATATAATATAATATAATATAATATAATATAATATAACATAACATAATAGAATATAACATAACATAATAGAATATAACAGAATATAATATAATATAATATAATATAATATAATATAATATAATATAATATAATATAATATAATATAATATAGTTTCATATAGCATAATCTAATATAGTATAATATAATATAATATAATTTATTATAATGTAATATAATCCGAATCCCATATATGATCTTATATAATATAGTGTAATGTGATAAAATATAATCGAGTAGCCCTTGAAGCCCTTGCAGTGACCTTCAGGGTTTAGGGTTTAGCGGGGGTGAGGGTTGCATAGGCGCTGGCCGGCACCTCCGTCCATGCTGAAAAAGTTAGAAACAATTAACACTTTAGTAGTAGTCGCCCTGATAGCAACGTCTCCAGCAACCCCGCCCCCCCTTTATACACCCACCAGGATTCTTAGATCGATCGCATCAGCTCACCATCCTATGGTCCCACAGGTGGGCGGGCCCGTTGAAAATGGAGGTTTAGGACCCTAGGGTTTTTGGAGGTCTACTGTAGGAAGTTCAGAGTGTGGGAATCTTGATTCGGGCATTTTGGCCCGTGGGATGTTAGGGGTCAAGGTTGGAGTTTAGGCATTGGGTCTCGTAAAGACAACATCAGCAACAATCTTAACCACAGCCACAGCCGCAACCACAACCAGCACAGCAACAGCACCAACAACAATAGCAGCAACAGCAATAGTAGCAACAACGAGGGTAATAGTAACAACAGAATAACAAGAACAATGACACTACAAGAGCACTGGCAAGGACCAAGACAAGAACAGCGAGAAGATTAACAATAGCAGCAGTAGCAATACAAAGACTAGTAACAAGTCACGGTTCAAGGTTGTTGTCGTTTTTCGTTTGGCTGCCCAGTCCCGTGTGAGCACTCGCGTGCGAGAAGTGTGATCGTCTTGACCGGCTGTTATCCCCACGCTTGGGGCAGGGTGCAGTCATGCTAATTCCTAATTCCGTCGTCGTTTTCGTCTACAACAACAACGTTCAGGTATTTTTCGAGGATGTGGTGTGCCTATGAGCTTGCTACATTCTTAAGGGATCCGAAGAAGCAAAAGCCAATCCAAATCATGCCGGTGAAGATGGCCGTGGTGCTTTTCCTGTTCGCTGGATGTGAGGTATGTGTCATGATAGGCTTTTTCTGGATGCCGGAGTTTACTCTCAGAGACGGCGGCGGGCACTTCTTCGAGCAGCTTTTTTGGTTCTGGCTGTCCCTAGCGCCATTTGTGCTCCTCAGCGTTCCCGTGACCTTCTACATTGGCATCAGCCTGTTCGAGGATCTGCAGGAGTTGCCTCAGCAAATGGCAAATTTCAGCGTTCGGCATGCTCAGTGTTTTTGCTGCTCCAACGATCACAGGCACTCGGGCAGAATCGGCTTTCGAGTTGGGCGTGGGGCTTTTGGGGAGCTGCGGTCAACTCTTGCATGTTCTTCGGGACACGGTCTTTGGGGCTAGACTACTAGATGGAAGTCATTGGCCGTTTCTTGCAGAGCGCTCCTGAACCCTCAACTCCCGCATGCCGAAACTATAAAGCTCGTAGACATCGTACACTCTGCACCTCAGGCTTCATCCAAATCTTGGAGCCAGCACAGATGGTTCTAGGATCCAAAATCCCAAGACCAAGTCATGGTTGTACAGCCGTTTGGGTTTAGGTACTACCAGGAGTTCAAGCACGTAGGTAGCTGCATGCGGCATCCTTCGCCCTACTTTCTTAGGTCTACAGTAAGTGTTTCGGCTTCGTGTAGTATGAGCTGCGCCATTTCTCCTTCAAGCATCATGTGCACGATTTCCAGAACCCGCGGCACCAACAGCAGGCATCCGCAGACAGGAGAAGTCCTGCCTTGCGACCGAGAGCTTATCTTCGGCACGCTCAAGAAGTGGCTTTGCAGGGTTCGGGGAATGCTTTATCTCATCGTGGAAGCTTAACAGGCACTCAGCGACTAAGTTTGTATAGACTCCGAGCTTGTGGCCAAGGTGGTACGGGGAGCCGGGCGACGTGGGCACGGAGCATCTAGATCGGTTCGACTACCAGGTGTGCTGCGAAGAAGATCGTCCTTCTGTCTTTGAGCATGGAAAGCTAGCTCTTAGTGCCAAAGAGTTATGCAGTCAGACGGCTCATGCGTGTGGGAAACGATAGATCAAACTAGTTAAGTAGAACCCGAGCAAGGCCCCATTTTCCGGTACGTGTTTGTGTTGTTCTTGTTGGCAGGCAGGCAGGCAAGCAAGCAAGCAAGCCCACAAGCAAGCAAGGTAGCAGCTAGCGAGCCAGCAACAAGAACCCAACCGCAAAGCGAGCAAGCAGGCGAGCAGGGACGCAAAACACTGGCAGGCAGGCAAACAAGGAAGGAAGCCAGTGCTGCGGATGTAGGGAGTTGGTACTGGTTTTTGTGCTTGCGTGGACTACCCGACCGATAGCATGGTCCCAGCAATCAAAAAGCAAGCTGTCACAGGGGTGCTACGTCTTTGGTGTCGCAGATCTCAACTTCCACAACAACCCGCGCGTGTGTGTGTGTGTGCAATAGAAGAACGTGAGCTGTCACGGGGATAGCACGTATCCGATGTGACGCGTGTGGACTGTCGCAGGAATCGTGCGGCAAGACCGCACCAACAAAAGCCGAGAAAACGACTGTGATATGGCGTGTGGACAACACTTGCCGAGCAAATGCTGCAATCGAACCGGAGAGAGATTTCTCGCAGCACAGTTTTTGGGAGTAGCCACAAGACTTCGAGTGCAGCGACAGTGCTGCATAAGGAACACCCAAAATTGAAGAGAGTAATATCGCTTTCTTATTTTTGCAGCCAAGACATTGCTGCAGCAGCAAAAGTACCTTCTCAGGCGAAGGACGCTCTCGATTGCTCAGCATGTTTTTTAGAAATTGAGCGCAGAAGTTGTCAAATTCATGGCCTCAATTTGTGAATTTCAAGAAGCTCATCAAACTAAGCCACTTCATGTCCTAGATGAGGCTTCTATTGAAAGCCTGACGATCGAGCCTGTGTCTTAGTTCCATCATGTTTGGTCTTGCTTGCATATTCCCGACCCGGGCTGACCGGCGGAGGGGCTCAGCAAAGTGATGTCTTTGGCATCACAAACAAGCGTTCTGAATATTTAGGAATTTGATTCCCTTATCCCCCTTCTATGTACATATCCATATATATATATATGTGTGTGTGTGTGTGCAAATGAATGTAGATGTACCAGCAGCTGTGTAGACAACACAGAGAGAGAGAGAGAGAGAGCGAGAGAGAGTCGCAGAGAGAGCTGCCTGCACTCCACGCCCCAGAGCAAAGCAGACAGAGAGAGCGAGAGAGAGAGAGAGAGAGAGAGAGAGAGAGAGAAAGTCCGGGGGATGGGTACTACAGGCTCATGCAGGGGAACAGGAGCATTCCCAACCCCGGAAGGGGCCGCTCAAACATGCTGACGCACGCCATGTGGGGTAGGGCCACGGGCCAGGGGGTTTTCCTCCCATTCCCATAGCAAGCAAACAAGCACGCAAGAGAGAGTATACTGTAACCCTACCTGAAGAATGAACCCTGAACCCTACGAGATGTACCCCATTGCCAAATCATCCACTAGCATAAATTAAGACCTTCCAACACCGGGTGGACCGACAAAGACGAACAGCGCAACAGCTTAGTTGCCAAGCTGCATGCTCGAACTTTTTAGTAAGGTCTCAGCACACCGTAAGATCATCCCTTGTTGATTTGTCGGATGTTGACTTGCACTGTTGAAGCACGCCAAACCTCCTCTTAAACATTTCAGCTGTATACATTCTAAGGACTCTAGACCTGAATCATCAAAGAGCCCGCCCGCAAACACAACAGAGCGAGCGAGTGAGTGGGTGTCGACCGGGGGTGCTCTCCGTCCCACGGAAACAGTCCCCTCGCCTTTTCTGCCGTTCAGCATGCGTCCTCGGGGCTCCCGCCCGGGGTTCAACGCTCCGGGCCCCTCGACCCGAGCCTGGGACAGCCCACTTCGCAGGAACAAAAGCTTCACCCGAATTACGAAGCTGGGACACTGGCTCAGAGACCGGGCTTGGGGAGAGGGGTGATCGAACAAACGCGCACACGCGCACAGCACCGATGGTGAGACTAGTCAACTGATGCCCTTCTGGCCGCAAATACTCGAACTGTGTCCTCTTGGCGTGTGGTGCGATGACAGCTGCTGAAGGCGTCACCCCTCGACCTAAGGGAGGCAAACACGACAGAAAGCGCCCAGCCCTTCCTTCAAAGCCTTGACGATGTACAAAAGACTGCGAAAACATAAACATCTGGCGAAAGCCCTCAGGCCGGACCCTAAACCCTAAGCCCTAAACCCTAACCCTCAAACCCTAACGTCCCAAGCCCGAAACCGAGGGCCTCTCAACCCTAAACCGACGAGTCCGAAAGCCCTAAGCCCCAAAAGCTCAAAAGTCCCCACCTCATTGCAGAACGGGTCAGGATACCCAGAATAGTATGTCGGTAACTGCAGTAACCTTCCTGATATCTCCTGATCCATAGCCCTAAAGCTGAAATATGTGCAGGTGCAGGAAAGCTTGGCTCCCACGGTGCTACGCGGAATGGGCCGCAGTTGGATACCGTTGAACTACACCGTGTACATGGTCGGGTTGGGTTTGGTTGGATTTTTTGACATTTTTCTCTCGGGCCATCTACATCGGCTTGGATTCTTGAGGGCGTAGGTTTCGGGCGTGTTGCCGAACAGAAGAGCTCTCCTGGAACGCACGAGCTCCAAACATAAAAGGTCCTGTGTATAGAGCCAGAATCTCATAGTCTTATAGTATAGTAAAGTATATATAAGTTAAGAGTATATTAGAGCAGATGATAGTAGATTCGATTTTGTCGTACATAATAGCATATATAACAGTTANNCCCCCCCCCCCCCCCCCAAATAGGTCGGTGTGGCCTCGGTGCCCGGCCTCTCTCGAACCATTCTCTCCTGGAAAGCCGGGCCGCCCGTGGAGCTGGCGGGCTTCGATCTGGTGGTATGGGAATCGCGCGAGTTCATGAAATGGGCCCCTTGGACTTCTTGTGGTGTCGGCCTGCAATATTTTTAAGACAGGAAGAAGCTCGGCAACCTTATCGAATTCATATGTATCTGAGGCTTTCTTGGCTTTGGTGAGCATCTTCTGGGTTCAGTTGAGTATGCATTTCCTCCATTATGGCCTTCGTTGGTCGAAGTACCTCACGCGCTTTGGTTGCGCCACGGTCTTGTGGCTACCGGTGATGTTTGGCGTCTTCCTGGAGTACACCTCTTTCATGGCATGCATCGAGTTCACGGACCACAACAGCCTGATTCCGGTAACCAGGTGGGACTTTGGAATTGTTTTGCGGTTTGTCCTATGATCTCACAGCGGTACCTATACTTATTAACAGCTTGCGGGCCTTCCAGTAACCACTATGAACCCAGGTTATCGTCTTCGTGGCATGGTGTATCTGGATTGTTTGCCTCAGCTATTACTCGAACGGGCCGCTTAGGGCCGCGCAGTCCGCCAAGACTCGAAAGTCAAAGCCAGTCTTCAAAGAAGACCTGCCCGATGTTCAGGTTGAAGTTGTTACTTCTGCAAGCAAGACCGACCAGTCCGAGATTGTCGTTGAGGTTGGTCCCGATGACGTCAGCAATGCGGACACCATCTCAGTTTTTGAAACCTGAGTTGCCCTGTACAGAAAGCCGTTTGACGTTGCGAATGACGTTACGAAAGATCGATGCCACAGGTGCCCATTGCTCTCCTGAGATAGCAATGGGTTTAGGAGCCATGTTCATAATCACAGTAGTAACAATAGTAACTCAATAGTAACATAGTAGTCGTATTAAGTACTGTTCCATGCCATTCCAGCTTCAGACTTAAGCCACGTACACCTCATCCTCGGCGGCGATCCAAACACTCTCCGAGCCTTGCGCCAGAATCATGCACCCTCAAGCCTCAAAGATTCAGCGCGAAGCCCCTTGTTGCCCCAAACCCTCAAAACCCTGAAAGAAGAGTTGAAAACCTTAGAAACCCTAGCGGCCCTAGCCATAAAACCGAAAGCAGCTAAACACGCAAATGCTGAAAAGGACAGCTTCCAAAGCATACCCCAGGCCCACTCCGGACCCAGAGCAGGATCCACCAGGCCACCTGACGAGAAGGTGACTATAAGGGTTATTCTCGTTGAGGAAACGTAAGGAATAGTGTTGCGAATCATTTGGGCTTCCAGTACGGCTTGGGACTGTTGGGTTCGGGGTTTTAGGGCTTCAGGTTTTGAGGTTTTAGGGTTTAGGGTCGTTGCTAAACTTATAAAAAAGGGTTGTTGCTACTATGCGCAAAACGACTATGACTAGGGAACCCAGGCCCGGAACCCTGCGTTTCCTAGCTTCATAATTTATACACCCAGCAAAACCCACCCAGTGTGGAAACCTGCAAGAGAATCGTCTTGGGTTTTGGGCTTGTCACTAAACCCTGAAGTCAGTTTGCTTGTGTGACACTATATATGCTGGGTTTTAGAGTACCATACTTGAATACTTTTTTTTTGGACCTGTTCCTTAAAGGAACCATTATAAATTAAAAGTCTATACTTTTTTCTCCCTGGTTACTTCAAAGTCCAGTATGATAAGACCATTTTTTCGTGCATCGTACCGCAGTACCGCATTGCACACTGTTGTATTATATCTTACCATGCAATCGAAACCCAGGCTTTGGGGCGTGTTTCGTGGATGCTCGTTGCTAGGTCTGGCCAACCATGCAGCGGTAAGCTGAACCCGAAACCGTGCTTGTGGCTACTCCGTCTTGCACGAGAATCGCCTGCCTTCCTTGCTCGTCGATGCATGTGTGACTAGACTAGAGGGGGAAAATGCAGATGCGAATAGAATTGTTGCTCGGCCTGCACCTCGGCATTGCAATGTCTGTATATAGCTCGGCATGATGGTATTGACATTCACACGACCCTGGCATACCGTGGTGGTTCTGTCGGTCATGATGCAAAGGCCATAGGAGCAACAATTTCCTTGAAACTCTTCGAAGTCGTCACTTCACCTGGTGATGTGCAAGCCTGAGCATTTTACGGCGACTGAAGTGGGGGACAGGAATGTTTGAAGTCTCATCCTGCTACGGCCCGTTCAACCAACCTTCTGCGTGTGAGTGTGCGTCCCATAGATCTCAGATGGGCCTCGTGTTACATCCAGTGATGTGACACGTCACAGGCACAACGAGACAGAGAGGGACAGAGCGAGGAACTTCGGACTTGGGGTTTCAGGTTTGGGGCTTAGGGCTTACATAGGGTTTAGGATTTAGGGTTGAGGTTGAGGATCCCAAACAAGGAAGCAGCACTCAGGACCTCCACACGGACGAGGATGTCGTGTGGGATGCAGACATCGGCGAGTGACTGGC